ATGTAAAATTAATAAAGCTCATGGCTATGTAAATGTGTTTATATATTTATTTATTTAGGTTTACTTATCAAAATAATTTTTTGTTAGAACAACACTTTCATTTAGTTAGTGAAAATCGTTCTTTTAATTTTTTTTCTTATCATAGATCCCTTAAATATGAGTTTTTAGTGATATCATATGTTTTAGAGAGTACAAACATAAACAAGAAACAAAGTAAAAATATTAATTATTTATTTGATTTAATATATTAAAAATAATTTATTCTCCACTTATTTCTATGTAATGTTAGGTTTTCACATGATAAATACAAATATTAAATATATTTATCTTTTTTTTAGTGTAAATTAGTTTAAATAAAAATAATAATATGAAAAGTTAGCATATTAATTTCAATGTTTGTAAGTACTAATTATTTTTTGAATAAATTAACATAAAAAAAATAGAATATGAAGGGTTGGCATATTAATCTATATATAATTAGATTCCAAACAATAAATATGTTAATTAATGATGCATATATATTGCATATTAAGTTGCTAGGATGTATTTGGTGTACAAGATTATGATATGATAGGATAAGATGATATTATGAATAAAATAAAATTAAATAATGTCATCCTATCTTGTATTTGATATATACAAAGATTAAGATAGAATAATTAATTTACTGGTCAAAATTATCTTTCCTTAAAGTTTATATAATTTAAATTATTGATGTAATTTTTAAGGATATAATAGAACATGTAAGTTCAATCTTATAGATTAAAAATAATTATCTCTATTTTGGGAAGATTGAATCATTTTATGCCAAGAAAAAGAAATGATAATCATCCTATCTTATTCATTATCTTATGTACCAAGCATGACCTTAATTCATTATTTATTTGAAATAAAAAATAAAATATGAAATGTTATAATATTATTTTTTTATGTTTTCATATTTTAGTAATTAATGATTTTAAAATAAAAAAAGAGAAAAATATGTAAATTTACTTTTCAAACTTTCATTCTTTTTTACCAACAAAACAAATTAAAATGATATGATAAAGAAAATCTATAAATATTATCATATTAATTTTAATCTTTTCATAATTAATTTATTTTTAAAAACTTTTCATATTTTACTAATAGTTGAATTTTAAAAAATCATAGAAATACGAAAAGTCACATAAAATATTATATTAATTTCAATAAAGAGATCAAATTATACAATTGTAAAATTAATTTGTTTTACACTTTTTTATAATTTCATAAATGATAAATATTTTTATAAATTAACCATTAAATTTAGCAACCTACTTATACTTATCACTCACGCAAAGTTTCAAGTCAATTCAATATTCCTATAATTTTGAACGAAAGTAATGTTGTTTTTAATATATATTAATGATTAAAATTTTATTATTATCATACAAATAGATTAGCAAATATTCTATATTTACTTGACATTTAGTAATGCAAGATTTACTTAAATAGAGCAAAAAAATTCAATGGTTGGATTAACAAATATAAATTATACAAAAAGATATGAGACGGATCAAAACTAAGTTAATTTTACACATGTCTAAGTAGATCTCTTTTTTTATTTTTGATTTTCAAATTTCTTTATTTAATGATTTAAAAATAAATCTTTGAAAAGAAAAAAAAATTATCATTATTTTAAAAAAAATTTATATTTCTTAATTACTTAAATTTAATTAATTGTAAAGAGACGAAAAGTCACAAATAATTATTATATGAATTTCAGTTTATGCAAATTAATGATTTGAAAATAAATATTTTAAAAATAAAAAATAAAATTTACTAATTTTTTATTTTTATTTTTATTTTTTTACAGATATCACTATTTCATTTGTTTTTAATAATACTATTTTATTCAATATGATTGTTATTTTAATTTTTTAATTTCTTTTTAAATTTAATTTATTTTTTATTTTTAAAGAACTAATCATGCGAAACATAAGCCAAAAAACTTAGTTAAAGTATATTGTTAATATTCAATATTGATTATGACCATAAATTTTATTTCATTTTATTTTAAGATATAAACTTGAAACTTAAAACTTAAATTTGAAAGATGCTAATTTGTTAGGCTAAACTAAGGTAGATCTTAGTTTTTTGCCATAAAAAGAAAGATCAATTTCCCAGTTTTAGTAACGATCCAAATTCCAAAGTACGATGTAGCATCAATGACGGATGGTGGACACGTGGCAAATAGCCAATGGAATTAGAGTTGAAACGAAAAGAGAGTTGGTTTCCTACTTTACCGCTTCCTTCCTCGCACTATTGTCCCTTAGAAGACCAATGGTGCACGGAATACCAGACATTCAAAAATGTTTCAAATTCCCAATCATTTCAAACAATTTTAAAATTAATAACAAAGAAATTTTATGACAAAATAAAACCTTTGATCAACGTGCATAGCTCTACATTCCCTCTTATCTCTTTCTCCTCCTAAGGTTTGGACTTTGGTTTTGTCATATTGTCTCAACTATTTTATGGTAATGTTTCCTATGATCTAATTTTCATATTCATTTAATGTGCTTCCATTTCTTTATTTTCTTTTAACTATGAATTTGTAAATTGTTCTTTTTTTTTTTTTGCATTTTTAATATTGTTTTTTGTATTTTAACAATGTTGATGATGACCAAAGTCTTAGTCTTTGGATGGTATAATCTTTAGCTTTGGATATATCTATAGGATTGTAGCATTTGGACATTGATAAATTTATTCCAATTATTTCACTTTTTTTTTCCTTTTTATTGTGAAAATCTTGACTTGCATTAACAGTTTTCTCATATTTTGGCTGAGCTCTGTAACGGGTATTTTTTCTTTTTTTTTTCTTTTTTTGATGTGTTTTTGCAAAATATACCCAGATTTTAGCAAGGTTGTAGAATTAGGGATGGCTGCTTTAATTTTATGAGATTGTCAGCTTCTTTGTTCTCTGTATTTCCGACTCACAAAGTCATTTCACGGTAGATGCAATTTGTTTTTCTGAAAGATATAATCTATAGGTGTTTCAAAGTTTAATGCAGTTGTTTGGTCCTCAGAATTGTGATTCACTTTGCAGTTTCATTTGAAGATCACAAATTTGTGTTCAACTGTATCATGCACTTGAAGTGTGTTGGTTATCATTGTTAGCGAATTGCGTGTCTTTTTGTCTCTGTGCATATGTAGATTTCTGTATGCAAAAGTGTATACGCCTGGAAATGAATCAAGTTATTGATGTTCAAAGACACTAGAGAAATGAGAATGACAAGAAGGTTGAGTGAATAAGCAATGCAAAACTGATGTAGAAGTGCGAAGTACAGATATGTATGGCAATATTCACCATTGATGGTATTATTGAGATTAAATATCAATAGAGCATCTCTTCCAGCAAATTTTTATCTACTGACTTTAGTTTGATTCTTGTATAGCTAGGGAGATGATTCCAGGTTTTTTTTTTTTTTTCTTTGTATAAAAGTTTTATGCAAGTAATTTCATAGAAGTAATGCAAGAGTACAAACCAAACCTAGTATTAGAAGCATAGGAAAGCTTGACTTCATGTTTTGTTAAAACTTGGTGGTTGTGGACTCATTTATGGTATCATTAGGGTGGTTTAACGGTCGAACTTGTCAGTAAGGCTGTCCATTTATTGAAATATCATTTATGGTTTATGGGGATGAATTAAGATAATAGCTGAAAAGTCCAAAAACTTGCATACTTGAAGGATGGATGAAGTTGAAATGGGCAACCAACCACCCAACAACCCCCTCTGAAAAGGGAATCACGTTCATCTAAGTCCACATATATTAATGTAAAGAACTTGGTTTGTTTCAGAATTGCCGAGAAGCTTTTTTTATTTTTTAATTAGAGTGTATTTGGCATTTCTGCCTGTGCTTAAGGTCAGGAAGAACATGGAACATCTCCCTTAGTTCATTGTAAATGTTTTCTGGAAGTGCCAAAAGGCTGACTTGGTAGCTTTTGCACACCTGATTATATAACAGCAAGACAAATAAGAGGTGACACTTTGTAAAGATAGAACTAGAAATAGTGCCTTTGTATTGGAAAACAAGCAAAAAGTTGGGAGAAATTCTTATGCTTGTGAATAAAAAATTTCATGTTTATAAATTGTCATTGTATTAATTTGTGGTAGTCTATCATTTTTTTTTCTGGTTTCTTCTGAAATTTTTAAAATCTGCATGTTCTATGAACTGTCACTGTAGGCTGTACCAGAATTTAAAATCTGGGTAGCGGTCATCGGAGTTTACACCGAAAGGTAGTTTCTATATGGGCTATAGTTTTTAGTGTTTCCTTCTGAATTATTGGGACCAAGACAAAAGTTTGATAGAGAAAACTTGAAAACTTTGTAAAAGAGTTTTACTGTAGACCTCAGTACAAAGTTGAAGCAATTCAGTTATGATTGACCCAAGTCTTTGTTTATCCCTACTGCAGGGTTACATAACAGTAATGATTAGGAGTATTAGAAAGTTGGTTAGTTTTAGAACTGCTTCCATAAGTTGCTTTTCAGAATTTATTAATTTCCAAATGTTACTGTTATAGCAGTTAAGACATAAACTTATCTCTCCAAATTTTACTTTAGCCTCCAGAAAGTCTGGTTTATGTAGCTTAGTTTAGTCCAGCATTATGTACCATTCTTTTAAAAGATAAGGTTCCAGTAAAGCAGCGTAGTTTACCATGCAGTTACGTCACTAACATTCAAGGTATCAATTATCAACGTAACATTTTGGTTAATGTACATAATTCTATATGATCCCGACTATAAATTGCTAGGTTTCTCTAACCTCTTTCTTTTTCTAAGAATACTGAGGCTCTTTCTTGTTTGTTCTAATAAAAACCATGCTCATTACTTGGAGTTAATTGTTTTTCAGGCCTACTTTACAAAAATTGCAAATGAGGAATCAAAAGTTCATAATTAAGCTCCAAAGATCATCATGCAAGACACTCTAGAGGACTTGATAGCTCTAATGTAACTGCATGCCCATGTTTTTGAACCAATGGAGAACAGTAACTCTGAGACTGAATGTATGATATTCCATGTCTTTGGTTTTTTTGCTCCTCTTTTTACTTGTTTAACTAAGTTGTTTGCTTTTTGTCTTTTTCCTCCTCTGCAGCCAAGCAAAGGGCACTGTTGGTTGACTGGTTAAATACTATTCTTCCCAATCTAAGTTTGCCAACAAAAGCGTCAGATGAAGAGTTGAGAGCTAGCTTGATTGATGGCACTGTTCTTTGTAAAATCTTGAACAGCATTAGACCTGGTTCTCTAAATGAGGTTGTTCAAAACTTATTCTCGTTTGTTTCTTCTAGAATCTTTTTAATGAAATCTTAATATGAGTTTTGTGATTGTTTATTCTGTGGATTAATGTGCATTTTTCTCTAGGAAGGTTATCCTGAAAATTCTTCATTGTTGCGGTCAGAAAATGTTAGAAGGTTTCTGACTACTATGGATGAGCTAGGAATACCCAGATTTGATGTATCAGACCTAGAGAAGGTATCTATTCTTCAAATGAACATTTTCTATAACAGTATTTAAATGAAAATTTGATTGCTTAGCCTTATGCAAATATCAGACTGAAGTCATGAATCAATTTAATTGAAGGAGTTGAGTGAATATGTTTTACCTGTGTAATCGTAGCTTAAATTGATGGTATGCAGATATTTACGTGCACTTCTTTGTGTTTATATTCTGTATGTTGCTCTGTCCATTTATTACTTTTGCTTATCTGCTTCCTGGTTTATGCACCTGACAGAATTTTAATGTTATTCCATGATCTTCCCCTTCCCGCCCTTTCTCCCTCTCTCTCCTTCAGGGATCTATGAAGAATGTTGTCGACTGCCTTCTAACACTAAAAGCACAATTTAAGTCATCTGGATGTAACTTGTCCACCATCAGTAATGTTACTAAACCTGGAAGCATTCATGGGGATGCATCATCCCGCAGCCCTCTCACAACATTATCTGGAGAAGAAAGGAGGAAGGCTTCTTTAGAGTCAAAATCTCAACGTGCCTTGCACACTCCTTTAATGTCAGGTATTGCTCTCTCTCTCTCTCTCTGCACAAGCATGTCTTTATGCCTCCTTTTGTGTGCTTGTCTATGTAGCATCTGTTATAGTTTGCAAGGTTCATGTGCTTCCATTGGTACAAATACTATAAATAATGAATGTATAGATAAAAGACAGTTCTGGTTAACTGGCTATTGGGTTTTATGGTTTAGTCATGCACACGAATATACAAACAATATCACACCAGCCTTGTGAAATATACATCTAACATAAAGCAATCACCCAATAGGTTTTGAGTTGATTTCTGATCTACTGAAACTGTATATATATCTGTTTATTTCATATATAGGTAAAGCCCAAAGGCAATTATTTTGCATTTTCTTGCCTTTTGTTGGAATTAGATCTTATCTCCAGTTGATGTTTTGTGCCTTTTGTGCCTTCTGCAGAACCATCAGCTGCAGCACTGCATCATGTTGGACACAAGTTCCATGAGGCGTTTCAGTTGAAACAAGGACGCTATGCAGATCTCCCCCCAAGTAAAATTTCAGAGATGATGAAATCAAGCAGTTTAGATGTAAGTTGTCAACATTTATTATGTCTTAAATTTCGTTTGGCTAGCCTTCTACTTTTTAATAGCCAAACAACTCGTTATTAATCATTCGGTGTATGTTTAATGTGTTCTTACATTTCCTGCATGCAGAATGCCCCGACTCAGTCACTTTTAAGCGTTGTGAATGGAATTCTGGATGAAAGTGTTGAAAGAAAGAATGGCGAAATTCCTCATGTAGGGGCTATGATGAAATATGGGTGCAAAATTTATGAATACATTAACTTTGTGTGTGTGTGTGTGTAATTCTGGCTATGATTTTTTTATTATTATGACATATATGCATTTGTATGCATATATAGTTATATGGATATTTTGGTACAAAAACATGATGGCATTGCCTTTGCTGCTCAGCGTGTGGCATGTCTACTGAAAAAAATTGTGCAGGAGATTGAACGACGTATATCAACACAAGCAGATCACCTAAGAACTGTAAATACTATTTTAACTATCTTGCTTTGAATACTTTCTTCTCAGTTTCTCTCTATGGATTTTTATGTCCTTTTTTGCCTGCAGCAAAATAATCTTTTTAAGGCTCGGGAGGAGAAGTACCATTCAAGAATCAGAGTCCTTGAGGCCCTTGCATCTGGGACTGGTGAAGCGACTAAGGTGCAGAAACTAACGAAGCAAAAAAAAAATTTACTGAAAGGCATTTTTCATTCATGTGTAGATGCTAACCTGTATATTTAATGAACTTATTTGTTACAGCATGTCACGAACCAGCGTCAGCAAATAAAGGTTCGAAGAAAAAAGAACATTTCTTGCTGTTCAACAGTCTTGAACTGCTTGATTCCGGTTCTCTCACAGGCATCATTATTTAGCTGTTATTTCACTCAGTATTTATCCATTACTTACTGCAAAATCTCGACTGAGTCTCAGTTTAAATGAATTTAATGAATTAACCAATCATAATCTCCACTGCACCCAGGATGTGGAGGGTCTTTCCTGCCTGCGTTGCTTGTTATGGACACTCTTATCAGTTGGCTTAACAAAATAAATAATATTTTCTAATTTTTACTTTTTAGAAATAGTTTCAAGAATGGAAAGGGCATGCATCTTTCACTTGCCCAAGGAAATAATCTCAAGCAATACGGATAACTTTCACACTAACTTTTTTCTAATGGGATTTTTTTTTTCCTTTCAGACTGAAAACTCCAAAGTGGAAGAAAAGAAGAAACTAGAAGAAAAAAAGAAAGTGGAAGAAAAGAAGAAACTAGAAGAAAAAAAGAAAGGGGAAGAAAAACAGAAAGCTGACGAACAGGAGATAACAAAGATGATGAAAGAAAATGATAAAAACATTCTTGAAATTGCAGCACTGAAACGAGAATTAGAAATTGCCAAAACGATACATGAGCACCGCTCCTTGGAAATGGAAACAGAGGCTAAGGGTGCCAAAGAAGGACTTCAAACGAGGTTAAAAGAGCTTCAGTGCCTTCTTGCTGATTCAAACTATAAGGTGAAAGAGCTTGAAGAAAGTTCAGAGTCAAAATGCCAGAAGTGGAGCATGAAAGAGAACATCTACCAAAGCTTTATGGATTTTCAGCTTGGTGCAATGAGGGTATATATAGGTTTTTGTTTGTATTATCTTTGTATTTTGTTGTTCAACATCATTCATTTTACTGATTTGTGCAAGTATTCAGGAGTTAAGGTTAACTTCCCACTCCATCAAGCAAGAAATTCTAAAAGCTCATAGGAGCTATTCTAAGGAATTTAATCACCTAGGTGGGTTTGCTGTGGGGAAGTTTTGTCAGCTTGTTTTGCCAGTGATGGAAGTTCTTATGAGAAAATTTTTCTTGCTCAGAAGTAAACCTTAAAGCAATAGCAGATGCGGCGGGGAACTACCATGAAGTTCTTGCTGAAAACCGAAAGCTTTTTAATGAGCTTCAGGATTTGAAAGGTGCCTATAAGTAGCTTCTCTCTACTTGGTTCTGTGATTTGGTTTATCATTTTTTGTTTTTTATTTTTATTTTTATTTTTTTAGGGAACATTAGAGTTTTTTGTCGAGTAAGGCCATTTCTGCCTGGACAACCTGGAAAACAGACAATCGTAGAAAATATCGGCGATAATGGACAGTTGGTTATCGCGAATCCCTCCAAGCCAGGGAAAGATGGTCAACGGTCATTTAAGTTTAATAAGATCTTTGGTCCAGCTGCTACTCAAGGTTTTTATTTTTATCACTGCCAAATTTCTATTGTTGGTTGAATAGGTATTCATTAGTTGACTGATACTCCTTGCAACATGAACTTGAATCTGTTTGTTTCGTGAAAGCATTACAACATCTAACTTATAGAACTCTGTTAAACAATGGCAGCGGAGGTGTTTGCAGATATTCAACCTTTTGTTCAGTCAGTGGTCGATGGATATAATGTCTGTATATTTGCTTATGGTCAAACTGGTTCTGGGAAAACCTATACAATGGTATGAATGCCTTTATTCTTAAGCTTCATGAAGTTGCACAAACATTTTTGAACAATCCCATTCAGCATTTCTTTTTTTCATTTCCAGACTGGTCCTAATGGAGCAACTGAAGAGGAATGGGGTGTTAATTATCGTGCTTTGAATGATCTCTTCAGAATCTCTCAAAATAGAAGAAGCACCATTCTCTATGAAGTTGGGGTTCAAATGGTTGAAATATATAATGAACAAGTGCGAGATTTGTTATCAAGTGATGGTTCTCAGAAGAAATATCCTTTTTTCTTAAATAAGATAGATGAGCTTCAATGATGGCAGTTGGTAAATATGTTATATCTTTTTTCAAATGATACGTCCATGCTTCAAATTGTCTTTGAAATTTGTTGGCTTTGAATGCATTCCCCTTTCAAGGGTTTTTCTTGTAATGTTTAAATGAAATATTCATGATTTTTGTTTAGTGATCTTTGTTTTCCTTAATCTTCACACACTTGGGATTACAACTATCTCTCAACCTAATGGGTTAGCTGTACCTGAAGCTACCATGCTTCCTGTTCTATCAACCTCAGATGTATTAGATTTAATGAATATTGGACTCAAGAATAGAGCTGTCAGTGCTACTGCTCTAAATGAAAGAAGTAGTCGCTCTCACAGGTTTGTTTATTTAATATTTTAAATCACGTCTCTAGTTTGAATATTTTCCCAGTGACTTATGATTTAGTTTGTGGCTACAGCATTGTCACCATTCATGTTCGTGGGAAGGATTTGAAGGCGGGAACTTCTTTGTATGGTAATCTTCATTTGGTAGATCTAGCAGGCAGTGAAAGAGTAGATAGATCTGAGGTAACTGGAAATAGGCTTAAGGAAGCACAACATATAAATAAATCATTGTCTTCCCTTGGAGATGTAATTTTTGCTCTTGCACAAAAGAGTTCTCATGTGCCATACAGAAATAGCAAGCTCACCCAAGTACTTCAAAGCTCTCTTGGTACTTCTTTCATCTATATCCTTACACTATCAGAAATCATCTCCAGGTTTTAGAGTATGAAAAATCTGTTTTAATTGCTTGAGAACACTAATGTTATCGTTCATACAAATTGTTTTGCTTCATAACACATACGCTAGACCTCCATTTAAATCATATGTTCTATGGTTTTACATATTCCAGGAGGGCAGGCAAAGACCCTTATGTTTGTGCAGCTCAATCCTGATGCAACTTCCTATACTGAAAGTATGAGTACTTTGAAGTTTGCTGAACGGGTCTCTGGAGTTGAGCTAGGTGCTGCACGAAGTAGCAAAGAGGGAAAGGATGTTAGGGAACTAATGGAGCAGGTGCAGTGTTTATTTTCCTCTTTCAAACATTACACATTCAGGTTATAATTTTCAATATGAAACTTAACTAGAGTCAGACGTGCATGATGCTTTTGTAGCTTTGTTCTGAAGATCAAAGGTATGCGAGCAATATCTCCTAGGACTGCTAATAGGAATTTCAATGAGCTGTAGAGTACACGGATTTGAGAAAAAAAAATTAACTATACAAAAGGAACCTTTTCTGGTTATCTTGATTTGGTTTATCACAAGTAGCATGTGATCTCGATTTGTTTATTTCTCGATATACCAGTCTCAGGATTTGCATTAGTGGGGTTTACTACAACTTGGCATCATTATTTGTGGTCGGTACAAGGTTTATTAGCTGATATGCAAGCAAATAAAGAATAAAGTTAATTACAAATAAGACTGGTTTCTTATTCCTCATAGAATTTCAGAAACTAGACTTATATTTATTAGGAGGAGCGATGACATTGGTCGGAGAAGATGAAAGCCTCTGACCAGGAAGATGCATAAAAGTGATAGATCAGTTGGCAAATGATGCAATACATTTTGGATCCACGAATGCATACTGCCTAAAGTTTATTTAGCTTTAATAGATACATTAGATATTATCTCAACTACGATTTAACAAAAACTTGCCCGGAGCCATGCTCCTGCCTAGTTTTTATTTGAAGGTTCTGGTTATAGATCTTATTTCATATTCATTTATAGATTTAGAATCCTTTTTTTTTTTTGCAAGAATAATGTGTTATTCCACTTCAAATCTCTTTCTGGCTCCATACATGTATTCTTCCTCGATTAGTGCTCTTGCCTAATAATATTCTTATTTGAAGATTATGGATAGATATCTTTTTATTTCATTTTTCTTTTCAATGTTCCTGAGAATCATATGGTTTTTCTATTTGAACTCTCTTTTTAGGTCTATTTTGGGTTTAGGTACAACATGTATTCTCCACCCAAAAAAAGGGGAACAACTGAATAGGATACTGTACTGTACTGCATTCATGTTATTGTTTCCTAAGTTTAACTGACCCTACAGATGGCATCTCTCAAAGACACAATAGCTAAAAAGGATGAGGAGATTGAGCGGTTGCAATTACTTAAAGATGTAAAAAACGGATACCCCAGCATCAATGGTGAGCAGCAAGGAACAGGCTCATTGAGGTATGGTTCTTCCTCTATCTGTAGGTGGTTATCCTCATTAAGCCAAAATTGTCAGGTGGGAAAGGCTTAGGACATACTGAGAAAGCAGCTTCTGATCATAACAACTGTTCACAGTGATAAGCAATCTGAAACTGGTTCCCAGCAGTCCACGGACGAGGAAAAGCTTTCTGAAATATCTGATGGTGGTCTTTCTATGGGAACAGAAACTGATGGCTCAGCCGAAAGCACTCTTTTGCCTGAAAGCATAAATTTGGGGAAGTGAGTACTGTTGATGTTCTTACAGCTTTAGGCATCGATCTAAAAATTTTGCACATAGTAAATATATACATAAAATTTTGGAAGAAATATGCACAAAATGTTCATTTGATATGCTACCGTTAACAATTTATAGATAGATTTATTGATTAAAATAGTTGGATTAAGCAGAACACTTGCAGATACTATTATATTCAAAACTTGTAAGCAGGAAGCAATTCTCTATCTGATGGTAAATATATCAACAATTGAAGATTTTCCTAGTGTACTTTGCCATCTCCCCCCCCCCCCCCCCCCTCTTTCCCTTTCCAACACACACGCACACATGTCCATATTTGTTTGACCACTTAGATTTGCTTTTCGAATCATTGTTAGTATTTTCTGCCCATCTGAGTTACATAGTTTATGACAGTGATAATTGTTTAGCTGCAATTCGATTTCTTTTAGCAGATTCCAAGAGTGACTGTATTCTTTCTTCTGATAAGCTACCCTTTTTGTAAAGAATACCTTGACCATTTTTTGCCTCTTTTAGTTTCATATCAATCAATCTAAACTGAAAATTGTCAACCCATTACATTTTGAATACTGAGTTTTCTTCTTAAGTTTTAAATGTCATTGCAACTGAAGTTACATTATAAAAGAGACAACTAGCTGTATTGCTTTGCAGATGACATAATTTTGATGTGGGGGAAATTTTATTTTATTACTTTTCTTCATTTTAGGGTGCAAACTTCTCATATAGACAGATGTAGGCTTGCTTCGATGCACATTTCTTTTGATTTAATTTGTGTTGTTGCATTTTATTTTTAAGGTCAATTCACCAAAATATAACCAAAACTAATATGAGAAATGCAAAAAGGAAGTAGAGGAATGGAGAGAGGGGGATAATGTACTCCATTTCAACGTATTCTTTGGCATGTTTGATCTACAGCCAATATATGTTAATTTTGTGCAGGAATAAGGTAGCATCGAAGATTCGACTACTACAAAAAGCAGTGCAAGGGCAAACGGCGCCAAGAACTGACACTCCAAAGGCTTCAACAAGTATGTCAACTCAAAGCCCTTCATCTTATTTCTTAAGTGCTATTCTTTATGGTGGATAAAAATTATTAGACCTTTTTGCATGTTATCCTTGTAAAATTCTCTTCTGTTGCTCGTTTCAGGCATTAAAAAGAGCGTAAGCTCCACTTCAACCAAGCCTCCTTCCAGAAGATTATAGTTAATAAGACGAGAAGTTGCAGTTGGTTACAATTATTGTTTATGGTCAGATATTCATCACTGGCCTTTCAATTGTAAATTATACATCATCACAACTTTGTGGACATTATCTCACCCCTGATAAGTTTCTGAATTTGCTCTCTTCATGGACGACTCTCATGGTAGGCAGCGTTTGCATTTATAGGAATTTGCAACATAATTTGATTTTTTACTACTCTTCTTTTTCCCTTGGATCAAACTGTAATTAATGCTATTGGTTCATTGAAGTATGTAAGTATGTACAAAATTTTGTATACATATCCTAGTCATGTTGTTCATATTAATTCATAAATAGTTACTTCTGCCCCCAAACATATATTCTGTAATCAATGAGGAGATGGTTTTCTGTATATTCAAGCCTCATTTTCAGCATAGTTGATGATCATGCCTGCCTAAGAAATATTGAAATACGCATTCCAAAAGTGGTTTTAATACCTTTTTAAGATGAATACATTCATATATTTACAACAGAATTAAATATATGAATTGCACCCATCCATATATAGGTATTTTCTAGAACAAGTGCAATCATGCTGCTTGGGAGCTTCATGTCATCTCCTTCAAATCACCATGGAAGGGGAAAGGTATCCTCTCCATTTCCTAGGGAAAGGAAAGAAAAGGAATAAAAAAGTTTTCAGTTCAAATTAACGAGACTGGAGGAATGGCAAAAGCTGAGAACTACTAATGATTCAAGAGTTTTTTTCTTTTGTAAGAGTGGGATACTTTAAAATCTTTATAAACAAGGTACTCTAAACCGTATTATAATCTCTTTCCTTTGAGTCTTTCCCTTCTCTTTTTCCAAGCAATGGTGAGTCCTTTTCAAAATGTCTTTAAAAAAAATCATATTCTTCAAATCATGGATTTTAATGATGTTTGTGACTACGTTTTCAGTAAATTGCACTTATTGTGAATAGGGACGTAATGGATAAATTAACAATAATTACACTCATCGCGATCATAAATTTTTTTTTTTATTTTACACAACTTCACATTCATTTATGATATTTAAAGTAATTTATGACATTTTAATTCTTTAATTTATATGTTAAAATAAATTACAACTCATAAATTAATATATATATCTAACATGTTCATCAACATATTTATGAATTTTAGGGACATGAATGTTATAAATACATATTTAATCTTATTAGTAAAAATGAAGATGAACTAAAATTTTCTTTTATAAGACATGATTATTGGGGTAAAGGGTTAAAATATAATTCTTCAAACATAGGTATTTGTATTTTACCATTAAATCAAATACACAAATGCAACATTTTAAATAATTAATTAACAAAAATAATGTCTTTGTTAGCAACATAAGCATTATTAAACTTACAAAAAAAATTCAATTAACAAAAACATTAATAATATCAAAATTATATAATAAAATAAATTATTTTAAATTAAATGATTGTACATGTATTAAATTATAAAATAAATAAATATTTTTTATGTAATTATCATGTGCAAATCATTATGAATTAATTTCATTTTTTCCATTGATTGAGGCTTAAATTTGTTGGATTTTGACTTAATTGTTCAAAGTTAGGGTGGGTTTTCTTATCTGATTTGATTTTGTTTATTGTGTGATTCAAGTTAAAAAATATAAAAAACGGGTTTAACGTTTTGTTACAATTGCTATTAGCTGTTATTCGTTATTTGTGATTGCAAAACTTAACTGTGATTATGATTGTCATTCACAATCTCATTATAAATAAATAATGATGACGGAAGGTGTCACTACCACTAAATAACGACCAATACATCACAACCCTAGCATTATTTTCAACCCTACTCTAAATATCGAAATTCTCATTCACGGTGAATAAATAACTTAGTTAAAATTTTTACCAATTCTCAACTAAAATGACACTTTTCATCATGAATCTTTTTCTATCTTATCACTTTCCTCTTTTGCCAAAATCAATTTTTGAATTTTTTTTTTTATGAATGATAAAGAAAATGTGATCATTGCAAATTAGAATTTACTCTTTTCTAAATTTCTGGATTTTTTTTTTTTAATATTTGAGATTTCTCTATAACTCACATCGTTCCTTCCAAGGAGTTGATATATAAAGTTTTAGTTCATTCTCAAAAACCTATTTTATATAGGGTAATCTAAAACTAGATGAAAGTGCAAGATTTTAATCATGCAATTGAAATTGACCATCGATTGGCTTTGCAATCCATATTTCTTGCATCTACTAGAAAATTCCACCTTAGTAAATGATCATCGAATTTATCTCTTTGCTAATTGTCAATGCAGTTTTGGTTATAAACACCCTGAGACCATTTCTTTTATTATTATTTTTAAATGAACATATGATTGTTGCTTTGTAATTGAGTTGAAAGAATGTAAAAAAAAAAAAAAAACGCAGTTTCAAAGGGACAAAAATAAAAGGAAATTCCTTTTTTCTCAATTTTGAATGGCATCCAAACCTCAGATAAAAAATTCCTAGTGTCTATTGCTTACTTTTGTTTTAGAGAGATTTGCATTTTTTTTTCGGTGAAAATGCATATTATTTCCATCAAGTAAACTTAAATTAAAAATTCAATTAAACACGAGATAAATTCAACATTGTTATTAATATTTACATAAGTTAATAACAATAAAGATGATATTGCATCACGTATGATTTACGTGTTAAAGTGACATTATCTTAAATATCTATTAAACATTAAGGTTTTTTATAATTTTATATTTAAGTTGAACCATTTAATTTATTGTTAATTGATTTTAAATTGAATATTTAATATAATATCAGAATTTAAGTTTTGTTATATTATTATTACTTATTAGTCTTGCATGTTATGTCTATTAAAATAATATTATCTTATATTTATAAATATTGAGTTTTTTATAATTTTATATTTAAATTGGATCCTTTTATTTATTATCAATTGAATTGCTTATGATCTTATATTCAAATTAAACTTCTTTATATATTATTGATTAATTTTAAATTAGATACTTAACATTAAATATTTTAATTTGAAAAATAAGATTATTACAAGGAATTCAATATCAGTTTGACTTAATCTCTTCAACTGACTTAATCTTAGATCAATCTTATCTATCACGTTAACTTATCACCTAGCCCCAGGCTAATCTATCATGTTAATCTGATAACCATACACTAGTTTGTACTTTATCAGTTTATTTTATATAAATACATTGCAGAACTATACAAATGCAAGCTTATATCTTCCATCATTCTCATCTTATTTACGAATAAAAATTAAAAAAAAAAAAAAAACCTTAATAATTCAATGATTAGTTAAAAAAAATCATCAAGAACAATTGGGGAGCTAGTTAGTTGTGAAGCGCCTTAAATCAGCAAAATTTCAAACACAAAATTGCTTATTAGACATGACATATCGTGGTTGGTGGCCAAAGAAAATCAATATATCGGAAGTTGGTGAGATGTGTATGGGCAAATAACAACAAATTTTGTGATTTGTGATGCTAACGCGCAACTAGATTTCAAAAACTTTTCCTCTTCAAACACCCACCTCTAAATTTTCCATCTACAAAATAATTCTTTTTTTTTTTTGTTTGTGTGTGAATGTTTAAATCTGACCGAACAAGGGAGAAAATAAATGTTTATGTCATGTGATGGGGTAAAATAATTAAATTATTTTTTATGTGAATTTAATAGGAATTAAATAAATATAGTTAATAAATAAATTGTTAAATCACAAACATAAGAATACAAATAATTTTAAGTGGAAAACTTGAAGAGTAAAAATCATCAACACTAATAAATAACTTTTATTATCAAAATATTGGAAATATAAACTCTATCTAGCCATATTAAAAGTATAGAATTACAATACTTTAATATGAAAAAATATTAATAAAAAAAAAAGAAAAAATCTCATCAAATTTAAAAATTAATAAAGACTCATGAAATTAATCAATACTCATGAAATCAATATGTAAAAAAATACAAAACCCAATTTTCATAATTAAGATTAAAAAATAGTAAGTTATGAATATACTGATAAAATTTTAATTTAATTAAATCATGAAATGATCTCAATGAAATTATTTAGATCAAAACTACACAAATCTTTTTTTTTTCTCTATTTTGCCGCTACTTTATCTTTCTTGCCTTTGTACTAACTATATCTAATAATATATAAAGTTTTAAAACCCTATAATCATGCATGCAAAAATTTTAAAAAGTACTTAAATAAATGAATTTTGATTTTAAGTCACCTTCACACACAGAAAAAACCAAGCCCAGCCATACAAATATCAAATCTGATATTTATGTTTATATTATAGGCATAGAAATTTTAGTACGGTTTAAAGTTCAAAATCGTTTCAGCCATATAGCGAACTGAACTTACAATTATAAAAAAGTATATAACATGAGTGTAATTTTCTTTAGAAATATAAAAAAAGTACAGTAAATTGAACAAATGTAGAATATATTATTATTATTATTATTATTAGGTGAATTTATACAATTTATGTACTAATTTGCAAAATTTAAAAATTGTTTAGCAAAATATGAAGCTATGTTTATTTCGAAAATTTTATTTTTAAAAGATATTTTTAAAAAAGTATTTACAATTTTTCTAAAAAAAAGTAGAGATTTTTATTATTTGAATAAGTCAATAAAAAATAATTTTTAAAAAAGTAGAGATTTTTTATTGTTTGAATAAATTAATAAAAAAAAATTTTAGAAATTTGTTTCTTTTTTTTCAAATAATAAATGATATAACTATTGAAATGTTAAAAAATTATTTATTATTAAAATAATTTAAATCATTTATTAAAATTATTAATGTTAAAAATAATTATATTTAATATTTAATATTATATTATTATTATTTATATTATTAAAATATTATACTTAAAACAAAAATAATTATTATTTATATATGAATTAATATCATAAATGACCTCTCTACTATAATGATATATGAAATGTGATATCTTAATTTTAAAATTTTTTAATATGATAATTAAACTATGAATTAATTAATTAATAATAAGATAATATTTTATTAGATATAAATAAAATAATAAGATACACATCATACTAAGCATCATATGATTTTAACGACTATGATAATTAGTATGAATTGTGTTATTTAAAAAAATAGATACCAGAATTTGTCGCATTAGATGTCAAAGGGGATATCAAAGGTGTAACATGCAAAGAAGAATATAATTAGATTTTGAATGCATTCGGTAAATTATTAAAAAATTGTAAAAAATTTTAATTTTTTATGTATTTGATAAATTATTTGTAAAAAAATATTCAAGTAAAAGTTTTAAGGGAAAATATTGAAAATATTAAGTAGCTTTTAGCTACTTAAAACATTATGTCATTATTATTTTAGAAAAAAATTAATATTTAATTATATTAATTTTATATTTTTTTTCTTATATTAATTTTATATTTTTTCTTTTAATTATTAATTATTAAATTTTTAACTTTTATCAATTAAAATAGTTATAAAATTATATATATTTTTAATTTCTTATAAAAAATAATAAAATAAAATATTTCATAAATATTTAATTTTCAATAATATATCAAATAATTTTAATATCATGAATTCAATACATAAAATTTTTTTAAATTAAAATTTCATTTTTTAATGTTTAATTTGTTTAATATATCCGATACTACCTTTATGTGAAAAAAGAAAAAGATGATGCCTTGAGTTTGGGCAGGCAAAATCCAACAGGCAATAATTTTAATATCATAATTCGATACATAATTTTTGTTAAATTAAAATTAAAATTATGTTTTTTAATGTTTAATTTATTTAATATATCCAATACCAGTATACCATCTTTACGTGAAAAAGAAAAAGATGATGCCTAGTGTTGGGTAGGCAAAATCCAACAGGCAAGTGGGAAGCGTCCCCATAAGGATTTCATTTTCCCCAATGAGAGATACAACAGAAGTGTAAAACAAGCGGACTGTCCCCAGAAAAAGCTCAGCCAGCCTAACTAGAAAACTGTATGCACTGCTGCAAGAGACTCACATACACGCAAGCCACAGATTGAAATATAGGTTATGAGGTTATGAAGATGCCCAACCCAACAACAACCATCATCCATTTATTAGTTTACACTGTCTTGTCGGTTTTTCAGCCTTTCCTTCGCATTGCTTTTTCTCTTTCTTTAATGTTTAGGTTAATAACGCCACCTCAGACCCACCATCTATTTGACCGCTGAATTTAGACCACGTGCTTCTTCTTCTTCTTTTCTCTATCCAACATTTCTTTTTAATTTAATAAACAGATGGGAATGGATAAAGACATTAAAAAAAAACCCAAACAGCTAAAATCAAAAGAAAGTAAAAACTTTTAGTAGGATTAAATTTAAACCTCCTCCAAATTACAATTACAAACGAAAGATCAAAGTAATCAAACAGAAAAATATTACAAAATGTCTCTCAAACAACTCCTCAGTCCCTCTCTCCTTATCAACATCAACAAAATAAGAACCCTAACAATAGAGAAAGAAACATTTTTACTCCTTCCTCTCCTTTTTTATTTTTCAAAATTAAGTTCGCCTACTACCTTTCATCAGTCTTCTCCTTCCATTACAATGTACATATTCTGAGAATGCAAGGAAATCCCATCTCTACTCTGTATATACAATCCAACACTATCACACTAATGCTTGTAATTTAATTTATCTCCCTCTCTTCTCTCTGATTTTTCTCATCAAATCCCTTGCTCTGCTATCTGTGCTTTAATTTTTTTTCTTGTTTCCGAATTGAGGGTTTCGATTGTTTTAGGCCACAGCAGAAATGCTGCAATTGCGGCGATCTATGCTGAGGCAATCGAAACCTTCAATTCGGACAGCAGCTGGCTTATTCCCAAATTTCATCCTCACGCATCCTCCACCTGCTATTCGTGAGGATGGTGACGCTGGTGCTGGGGATGACAGTGGAGGTAGAAGCTTCTCGTTGTTGAATTGAGCATCTTGGATTACAGGATTTGAAGCCCTGCTTGGTGGTGATCCACAGAAAAATGGTGGCGATGAATCCACCTGACTGATGGGTTTCTCAATCCCATAGCTTCCCTGTAATTAAATTAAACAAAACTCCTTAAATCCACAAAATTCACTACATAATTGAAGATAAATATTTAAAAATTATAAAAAAATTTGAATTTACCTTGGCGAGAATTATATCAAGAAGTTCACTACCGGCTTTTGAATCGGCCATCTGATAATAGTTACTGAATTTTGCCCAAAATAGTTAAATAAGAAAATTTAAACTAAAAATCAATTCTAAATGAAAAATAAAAGTGAAAGAGAAGGGACCTACGCGGTTGGCCATCTACACGTTCCGATATGATCATGAGCTGAAGAATTAAAAACACCTAGTCGACGAGGCTTAGGGCAAACCACAGAATCAATCCCTCTCTCCCCAAACTTTCCCATGCCGTTGGCGTCCATTTTTTTTATTTATTTTTCAATCAGAACACTAAGACACCCTGTCAAAAAAAACACATAAAAATTAGATGGAAAAGAAAAAAAAAAGACAAAAAAAAAAATCTGAGTTTTCCAGAGAGACAAACCTAAATTTTAGAGGAGAGGACCGAGATATGTTTGGAATAAGAGAGAAGAAGGAGCAAATTGTTTTCAGATTTTAGAAGAGATAGGAAGAGAAATAAGAAGAGGTTGGGCTGAGTATTAAGATGGAGAAGGGATGGTGAGTTGATAGAATGTGAACAAAAGTAGAATGATGTGATATGAGATCAGTGGGTATTGTCCGTCGGATTTTGGTGCTAAAGAAGATGATTATTAATGATTGTTTTGTGCAGAGTAAAAGGCGTGGGATTTGGAGCCAAATGGAATCTGACGAAGATTTGGATTCTAAAAATCGATTAAATCTTTAATTCCCTTTCTTTATTGGCTGATGCATGCATGTGCACAGTTTTATTTTATTTTAATTAATTAGTAATTTTTTTAAAATGATTCTGTTTGAACGGCAAATGGCTCTTCTCAAAAATTTTCTGTACTTTTTATTATTATAGTAAGTATTATTTGTAGTAGATTAATATTTGGATCAATTACTTTATAATTGAAGTTGACATCTAAAAATTATCAATTAAAAAATTATACATATAAATTTTTTTAATAAAATAAATAATAAGATAAAAAATTTAAAATAAATTAAAATTTTTAAAATATATATTATTTTTAAGTACTTACACAGAGCAAAATGAGAGAATTCCCAGCAATAATAATAATTCATATTTACTCGGAGAAAACATTAAACCTGGCTCTTACCATAAAATATTCCTTCTCTGTAGAAAAGTGTTAGTGTTACTAATACTATTACATTTTTTTTAATTTTACAAAGAATTTTTTAAATTTAATTAATATATTATTTATAATATATGCTATAATTAATAATTTTTAATTCATTGAATAAAATATTACTATATAATAATTTAAAAATAATATTTACCAAAACACTATTATTATATTTTGAATATTTTTTTAATTTGAATTTAATTTTTTAAATATACTTAGAAACATTTATAAAGAGTTATTTTACAATTGTGTTAAAAGATTTGATAGTTTCAAAAGAATTACAAACAATTTGGAAAATAAGCATGGAATTTCAGGACCTTGAATTCAAATTGAAGAGCTTAGATAGGATGCACTTTTCTACTTTTAGATTAAGATCTCAATGAGATTTGGATCTAAAACTTCATAGTTCTAAAGTTTTTTTTTTTTTTCATTAAATCAATATTGCTTTTTAAGCATGTATTTATTTTTAAAAAGGTGTTTATTTTGTGTGTTATTAGTTAATTTAACTAAACTAAACATAAAAATAAAGAGATAATAATTAGAAAATTTGATATTTAAAGCACCTTCATTCGAGTTTGACATTGTGATATCAGAAATAACTCCAATGACGATGTTGAACGAACTTAACTAATTATTTTAAATGGTTTCTCTCCCAAAAGATATCAATTTGTCCAAAGAATAACAGACAATGAAACAATTTTGATTAGTTTAAACACACGAAGCACCCAATAAAAGTTAAACACCAGAAGCCAAATAATCTCAACTCTGAAGAAGGATGGACGAAGCGGGCACTCCGTTTCGTAATTATCAAACATGGGAAAATATGACGAGAAACCTGCGGATTAAAAGTATTAAATATGATTAATCCAATACTAATTGGGTTTGTTAGAGCTTCCAACAAACAAAATTGACTAAAAACAAATTTTGATTTTTTGTCTTTCTTCTTACTTATCAAGGTAAAACCAATTAGCGGTCCATAGCTTTCTTTGTACACCAACCATTTAGGTTGACAAGTCTCGAATTGAAAGGAAATTAAAAAATTTTTATGAGTACCGACCTATTTGGTATTCCGCAATTATTGTTCCTTAAACACTTGGAATTATCATTTTTTTTCACTCTTACAGTAATAGCAATTTCACATTTATAAAAAAAATTACTTAATTTTTTTTCCCAACATACCTTTATAAAAATTGAAAAGTTATTGGAATATATATATATATGTATATATCAAATTCCAATTTTTTTTGTTCTTTCATCTATTGAATCTTCTCGGAACAAAGAAAACAAGGAGGCTGAAAAACAAAAACAAAAAAAGAAGTTACCAAAACAAACCACCTGCATTACTTTTCACAAATAGTGAGAAAATAACCACAAAAAAAAAAAAATTTCTTAAGGCCGACTATCCTGGCTAAAGATTTTTAAAAATATAGAAGAAAGAAAAAAAATGTTGTTTTAATGATTGAAGAAGAGTAAAAAGAGATATTGTTGGGAATAATAATTCAAATTTAAAAAAAATTTATTTGTGTTATAACGTATAGATCCGTGAACCTTTCGCTAGACATGGACTAAATGAGTCATCATCAATCTTTTTTTATTTAGATATGATTGATCACCCGATTGAACATGTTCTATTTAAAAGAGAGGTCTCAAGATTGACTTAGATATCTTTAAATAGTAGATTTTAATCTATGAAACCATAGTTTAGGTTCGAGAGTGCAGTTACTTTCTCTCACTTCAAGAGTATTCATGAAAACTAGTGTCCCACCCTGAAAAAGCTTCATTGTCTGATTTATTATAGCATTTTATTCAAGAAAATCAATAAGTCTCTCAATAGTTTAGTAAGATTTATTTTGAAGCAAATCTCCTAATAGTTTGACTAGATTTTATTGTAAAAAGATTTGTAAAAACTTTTGAGAATTTCATTAAGTCTCCTTATAATTTGGTATGACTTAATATGCAGTAATCATCCAATATTTTAAAGGATAAAAATTAATTTTTTTTCTTTTTATCTATATATATTTTTTAAATTGATTTATGGAATTTCTTAATAGTTTAGTAGATTCCATAAACTATTTAAAAATATTTTTTTTGTTTCTTTGTTTTTCAAACTTATTTGAAAAGTTTTTTTTTATTCTTTCTTTTTTATTCGAAAAGTTTTTTTTTCTTTGTTTCTCCCATTTTCCAGAAAAGATTTTTTTTTTTTGAAAACCAGTAAAATTAAATAAAAAATGAAAATAAAATAAAAAACTTAAGAAAATAAAATTAAAATGAAAAGGAAAAAAAGAAAACCTACGATCGGGTCGAGTAAGTACCATGGTCATCGCGTGGATCCTTGTTGGGTCACTCGTGTAACTGGATTTTTCAAAATGCTACCATTTTGAGTCGCTATAAAAGCCAAGTCCCAGCGTTTTTTCTTAGAACCCCCTCTGTTCTCTTTAGATAGAGAAGCTCATACTTCTCTTTAGAATTCTCCAAGAAACCTGTCGAAAACTTTAATCAAAAATTGAAAATCTTATCGATTTTTAGAAAAGTCATCAAAAAATTCAATCAAAAATTAAAAAACCCATCGATTTCTAAAAAACTAGCCGAAATATGATCGAAAAATTCAACCGATTGTCAAAAAATTCATCAAAAAATTCATGTTCTTCCCAAAAACCTAGATTTTTCCAAAAAAAATCCTAAATTTTCCTAGATTTGTCCTAATTTCTTTAAAAACTCTCCAGAACCCTAATCCAACTTTCAGAAACCCAAATCTAATCTAGAAACTTCATATCAAACCTAGGATTCCCAAAATCAAAATCCTAAAAAATACCTTTACTGTTTAAGAAATTTTCAAAACCAAAAGTTTCTCTAATTCACCATGTATCCCAAAAATCCATTCTACTTGTTCCTCCAATCTTTAGTTCAATTTATAGGCATCTTTAGGGTAATCTTTAGAAAATGGATAGGACTAATCCTAGGCTTGAATCTCGGGATTGAATTATGCTCAAGCATGATTTTAGGCTAGATCCTTATTAATTTGTTAGAAAAGATCCCTAAATTGAATTTTAATTAATTGTGCGAATTTGGTTTTCTGACTTAACTGATTCAAGATTCCAGTTTCCATAATTATCATCATCAAACGAAAATGAAAAGAAAAAAAAATAATAATATGATATTATAATAATAATAATAACAATATAATAATAATACTATAATATATACTATACTATACTTTAACATATCTAATAATATAATAATATACTTATAAAATAATACTAATAAAAATGGCCTATTGATCTCGGATACAGATGGGTGTCTACAACTATCCCTCTTTGCACATTCTTGTTAGACAGGAATGATGCAAAGACCTAGACACCCAGGAGTCAAACCAATTAAACAAAAATGATTAAGACGGAACCGTAAGTAAAAAAAATGATCCAAACTGAGTTGAGATCAAATGATCAAGACGAAATCGTAAGTCAAAAAGATAAAGTGATAAAGATCGAGTCAAGGTTAAAGACGACCAAAATGAAACTAAGAGTCGAGATAAAATAACTAGGATCGAGTCGAGGTCAAAAATGAATAACCAAGATAAAATCATGAGTCAAAAAATGATCTGGATAGAGCTGAGATCGAATTACAAGGACGAAACTATGAGTCTAAAAGATAAAACTATCAAGATCGAGTCGAGATTGAAAATGATTGATCGGGATGAAATTATGAGTCAAAATAATGATTTGGATTGAGCCGAGATCAAATGACCGAGATGAAACCACAAGTCTAAAAAATAAAGTAACTAAGATCGAGTCAAGATAAAAATGACTGATTGGGACGAAACCACGAGTCAGAAAAGTGATCTAGCCTAAGCCAAGATCGAATAACCAAAATAAAATCATGAGTTTAAAAGATAAAGCGACCAAGATCGAGTCAAGATAAAAAATAACTGACCGAGATGAAACGGTGAGTCACGAAAGTGATCTGACCTGAGTCAAGATCAAAATGAGTGATATTGATAATGTAACAATACAAATGCATGTCTTATTCAAGATGAAAATGTGAACACAATGTATGTAATACTGATGTCATGAAATTTCAGTTATGGTGACAAAGTTCTCAAGACTTCACCAGTCTTTTCGGTATTAATAGTCTCAGAGCAAATTTTATCAGTTGATCCATGTCATTCTTCTCATCTGATATAACTCACAAGTCATGTTAACCAATCTATCATTAAATTTCTCATTGGGTTATCTCGTTTACCCTCTTATAAATCATTTTCTCTTGTTTCTTTTATTTATCTCATTTTGAATTTCTTTCAAAAAATGAAAAACATTTTATGAAAATATCATTCATTTATTTTGTCATCATTCCAATCAATGATAGACATGATACATTTTCTTGGTTTATTCAGGGAATATTTGGTAAAGAATGAGAAGAATGGGTCCTTATCATTGAAAAAACAAAATGTAGGGTCAAGAACAACTTAAAGGTGAACAAAGGTAAAAATGCTATGGTTTATTCAAATAGGATATTAACATCCAAAGAATGAT